GGCAGGTTTCCCTTAAGCAAGAATATCAACATCAAAATGGTCAGATGTGAATAATTAACAACTACCAACAATAATTAATAAAAAAACCTGCATATCATGATATTGTTGACAGTTCACTGATCTACATGATCACCTCTTAAGGCATACCAATTGACTTTAATTGCTTGCTGACTCCTGTTTTCCACACTCTTATAAATATGCTAATTAAAAAATACAAATTAAATCTTTTGAAAACATAAATTAGCATTATTTTTACCAACTTGAAGAAAAAACTCTCCATACCTGTAGGTGACAAGACCCCAGTTTTCCATAGCCCCTGTCACAGAATATGGAAATGGAGGCTTCAATGGCATATAATCAAATCCAAATTATTTCTAATCATTAATATCACCTAATACTGTAGGAACCAAAATGAAGAGCTCTGCAAGACATCACTAGGATCCAAAATGAAGAGCTCTTACTTTACTATATTATTACTATGAGACCATGTAATGTCTTGTAAAACATATCAAAAAGCAAGGAAAATTTTGAAATCAATAAGGAATGCTGAGTTACCTATGACAAAGTCTTGAATAGCAATGAGGTCAAGCTTTGGTAAAAGGTAACCAATCCCAAAATATTCTTTGTAAAATGGCAGGCACTTTTTAGCGACCTGGAAAAAATTAATAAAAATAATCCCTGAACATTTTAAGCCTTTCACAGGAGTAGCCTGGAACTAATTTCTCTTTAACCCTTTAATTCCTGGAAGTGATTAACATGAAACTTCTCCCCATAATATCTGTACATTATTCAGCAAACAGGTAATAAAGATATTCGAACTTATCACGTAGAAGCTGCTATCTTGATCTAGCACCAAGTTCTCATAACTGATTTACAAGGAAATGTGTAGCAGGTAGAGGGGAGAATTAACAATCAGATCTTGGGAATTAAAGGGTTAAAATATCAATACACTGTTAAGCAGGCACAAGATGAGAAAAAAATCAAGATATATATTGATAAGGGCATTATTCTTAAACTCAACAACAAAATCTCAGAAGCAACATTACAGGAAATGTATAGCAGACATTAAGGAGAATTATTGTTGAGATAAGTGTGAACTGGGAAAAATTTGTAATGCACTTTGCAAGACTGACCTCTAAAGCAAACTGTCCCCGAACTTCTCTTCCCTTTGGAGTATAAACTCTGATTGTTACCCCATTTGCATCTCTTCCTTCTACAAAATCAAACTCGCCAACAACAAAAGCAACAAGGTATGTAGACATGACTGGTGTCCTTGCATACTTCACTACTTTAAGGGAGGTATCCTTGGCATGATCTTTCTCCTCTTTTACGTTCTGAAAACAGAAATTTGTGTACGACATAGATGAAGTTGTTTTTAAAAAATAAGCAGCATGCCTTTCCATTTCAAATTGACTTTACAGGTTAATAAGAGTCAAGTTACTAGTCTTGAAGAAATGAGTATTTGACCCCAAAAATGACTGGCATCTAATTTCTCCTTACAAAATAAAACCTGAAAAACACATCAAGGTCAAGAACATAATGGAAATGATCACCAACTAAAGATCTTGATCGTTAAACAAATTCTCCTTGTTATCATCATTTGGAAATGTTTGGAGAACAGTATGGAGAATATGCATTCTGATGTTAGGTTGAAAGAGGTTTATTAAAATGGAATTTAGCTGAAGTTCAGTTACTTTCTTCTTACATTATCTGTGGCAGGGTGTTGTGGACCTCATGTTGTTTCTTTTGTTTTTCTTTTTTCTTTTTTACCAGAAAAATTTCCCTCTTTTTGCATATCAAAAGGCGAATTAAATATGAGATAAAGACTTGTAAGCTCTTCTCATTAGGATATCCTTTCTGTATAGGACTTGAATTTTGACTGCAAAGTGTTAGGGCGCAAACAATAATTGTAAAGGAAACATGTGGCTTGATGTAGGTCACACATCTGGGATAGTTAAAAATAGTTGTTGTTGTAGGTAGCGAAAAAAAAAACAAGAAATACACATCTTGAAGAGTTATTTGTTTCACTGCTTCCTAATGTGGTTCTTGGGGCATGGGTAACAAAACTACCCTTGGCGGTAGATAACCTTAAATCAATTCTCTCACTAAATCAATGAAAAATATTCTAAAGTTATTGCACAGTTTGCTAGCAACTCTAAACTCAAGGATCCATATCCTGTTCAAAAGTCAGTTTGTGGAAACTTCACAGTCACCATAGGCTAAGGGTTGTTACACAAACAATAGATTGAATTAGTCTAATTTACAAATTATTCCATTACTGAGTTGTATTTACCATATTGGATAAAGCCACTCTGTCCTTTGGAACAATCAAGGTGATATCAAAAGTGGCACGAATGGCTGGTTCATCCCAACAAGGAAATGCTCTACGAGCCCCTGTTGGCTGTATAAGGTAAAACAATTTACTTAATGTGATTGTACTTAGAAATCAAGTTCATCTAAATGCCATCTACAGTACAAAATATGTAACTACTGGAATTCATTTATCAACGCATGTATCATCAGCTCGAGATTCTCCCCCAAAGTTGATCATCAGGGATAGCGCTTCTAAGTGAAAGAATGATTACCCCTGTAATTCCATCACACAATAACTACTTAAAAGTTATCAGCAACAGTAAATTTGATGAGCATTCTAACGACAATCAGAATGTTCCACATTACAAGCATTTAACCCTTTAACTCCCAAGATCTGATTGTTAATTCTCCCCTGTAGCTGCTACACATTTCCTTGTAAGTAAGTTATGAGAATTTGGTGTTAGATCATGACAACAACTTCTACCTGATACATTTGAATATTCTCATTACCTGTGTGGTGGATAGTGCACGGATATTGTAGGGAGAAGTTACTTTTCAATCACCTCTGGGAGTTTAAGGGTTAAAATACATGACTAGGGATATAAAACAGCTCTACAATAATGCAAATACTTATAATATCCTTTTAAAATAAAATCCCGGTGGTTTCATCACTGACAGAGATAAAGTACTGTTATTGTTAACAACTGGTTCAAAGAAACTTCATAGCCTGATCACCATATAATATTACATGTGCAAATAATTATACTGTAACTGACATGTGTAAACAAATTTTCAGTGCAGTGCAAAATTTGCAGGACTGGTTGTAACTGACTAATTAAAACAATTCAACCACTGATCAATTATGTGAATACTGTACAGGAAAATTACTTAACCTCAAAATGAGTGACAGCACAGAACTTCTCACTGCCATCCTCCCCAGTATATTTACATCTGTAAAATCCTTTCAATTTGTTGTTCAATTCTCCAGTGAAGTCCAAGCATAGTTCACCTTGCCCCAAAGGAAGAGGTGATGCAAAACTTATTTCCACTGTTTCATCCTCAACACAATGAGAGATATTTGAGGAAGGGTAACCTAAAAAAAGAAACATTGCCTTGTTCTTAAACTGTTGAAGTTAGCCTTTAAGTAACTTTGATTAAATGGATGATTTAAGTGAGGTCTTGCACTTGAAATGAAAAAGAAACATTGTACTTCAAGGTCTCAATCAAATCATCCATTAAATTAATTTGTTAATTAATTAATTCGTTGTGGAAGTTGTGGTGACCTTGGACCACAGTGCCCTCTCTTCAATTCCTGTGGTACTGACAAAGATAATTTTTCAAGAATCAGGGGCTTCTAAGAGCTTCTGCTTGTCCTGAAACTCTCTCTCTCCCCTACACAAGTCCCTTAGGGAGCATTTTGGTTTTGCATTCTGTCCCCTTTCCAGTCCATCAACATTCTCTGGGAAAAAAACACTTTTGGATCACAAGTTCATAAGCTTATGAGGTTTCCTAACCCCTAGAGATTTCCCATGTCCCTCCCACTGATACCTGAGGACATTTTCCAAAAACTGTAACGCAATTTTAATTTTAAAAAATGTAGATTATCAATTTTACTTACCCCATATCCTCAAATAAGTGCCCACACTCTGATAAACATCTGCCACCAAATAAACATCCCCCCTTCCTTCTTCATCAGTAGGGATAATAACTGCCCCCCTTAATAAAGCATCCTCCATCCACCCTCCCATAAGCACCCCCCCTCCCTTTTTTGGGCAAAATTTTAAACAAGCACAGCACCCACACCTTTATTTGAGATATAAAAGGTTAGCCATTATTGAAGCAGTGTCATAATGTAGCATAAAATTCTGGTAGAGAGTGATAGTACTTACTTTGTTCTCCAAAACAAAAACTGGCTGAGGTAACATTTACATCAAGACAGTTGATAATCACTTTGTCGGTTTCTTGTTTTACCTAAGATTAGAAAGTAAAAAAAAAAAAAAGTAATTAAAAATCTTCCTTAAACAGAGAAAAAAGAACAAAGACAGATTTTCCACTTCCACAAAGGTGAAAATTCTAGCAGGATTGTTAATTGTTAAAAGAGACTTCTGTGTTGCACCAGCCTGCATATGAAACAGTTAGCCGGTGTGTGATCACCAATAAGCTAGAGACAAGTTGAGGATTTTTTTACCACTGCTTCAGTGTATACTTTTATACCAAGAGTTTATAGCTTTAGGCCCTAATGGAACTGTCCTAGGTACGTGATCGTAAAATTTAGTCACCACCGCGCCCTTAAACGGCAAAAGGGGCAGGATTAAGCGGGGGGGGGGGGGAGAGAGAGGAGAGGAAATTGTTCTAGCATCTCCTCAAGTTAAAAAATTATTCACATTAACATCAGCACAATGGCATAGAAACTGTAAATGTAAAAAGGGAATTAATATTGTATTCATGTACTGGCTATCAAACCTCATTGAAGTATTACCTAATCTCACATTTTCCAGAAATCACTTGATTATCGTACAAATATTTTGGCATGTCCGATACCCAAAGGAAACAAACTTTTAATCAAAGATAGAATTCAACCCGCACGTGAACACAGTTACATATTATATATATTTCTTTAATCCTGCCACGGTTATATTACCTCCACATCGATAACTTCTTCTCCAGTAAAGGTAAATTCTGTAAGATTTGGCTGCAAAGTCAGTTTGTAGTTCTTTGGCAGCACGCTTGTGGGAAGTCGTTGAAAAGGTTTCTTTACACTGCTCATTGTCGTTGTGACAATGCTGAAGCGTGTAATGGAAGACACAAAAACTGTTACCCTAGCTCCAAGGAAGCAGGAAGACCGAAAAAGAAGCCTGGAAAGAATTGTGATCGTAATTTGCTAGGAAGAGAAGTTAAAACTGTAATCGTGCTCACTTCTAGGAACTGTTCACCCCAGTGCCTTTCGGATTCCGTCACGCATTTTAAGATTATGTGACAGCTTGAAGGTAACGCAAACGGCTTTCTCTTTGTGACGGGAAGTTTTTTTTGCGGTAAAGCTCAAAACAGGGTGGTTTAATCAACAGGATACCTTTACTTGAATCTAAGCTTTGGGATCGAAAGTCGTAAGTTTTCTTCTCCCCAATTTTGATTCCTTCTATAGAGTTCTGCGAAAAGACAGTTATTCTATGTTTCCCTTAGAAATTTTGGGCGGGAAATCGACGCGCAACTGGCCAAAATAGATCTCACTCGCGCGTGCCCGAGGTTTGACCGCTGTGTTAAGAGCGAGTGGTTGTTGCTACGGTTGTAGCCAGGAACTGTTCTCTTCACAACCGCTTTGAAGAAAACTTTATTTGACTGGAGCTTCACTCTAGTGGCGACCAGCTTGCGTTTTTTGGGGAGATAGGTCGGATTTCCGCCACTCAGTCTATCTTTCTTTCGTTTCAATCAAGGCGTCGTCCAGGTTAGAACTAAGCCCCTTATCTTCCTCAGGAAGTCACAATGTCACGCAACGCTTTACCTGCTTCTTTCGGGGAAGATTTGCAAGGAATCCTAAAGAATAGTTGCGAAGGTGATTATCTAACCACAGGTGAGTTTCCACTGCATTCTAGAGGCATAAGTCAGTGTGAAAACATCTTGTTGGAAAGTTTGACTTTAATTATAAGCTTAACGTCTAAAATTCACTCAAGCAAGTTTGCAGAGCTTCTTTCTTCTCCTTATTTCTATCGCTTAGGGATACATAATGGTTCGAAGGATTTTTTTTTCTTTTTTTTTTCTTAAGAGAGTGGGTTTAACATAAATTTTCCCCCAAAAGGGTGAAGGGGGTGGGAATCAGGTTAATTCTATTGTGACATAACTACAATCCTCCAACCCCTCCCAGGTGATAAATAATGACCGCTGCCTTTCTGCGCGTGACAAAAGACAACGGAGAGGACAAATCTGCATGTAGGCTTTTTAGCACAAAGTAATCATCCTGGGCGAGGACTTTTCGTCGCGTAATTTGAACTGATTCTCTTTCTACTAAAAGTCTGTGCTAAGAATGAACATCGGTTTGTTTGGCGCGGGTCTCATGTATCTAATATCCTTTTTCCTTAAGCCATGCGCTGATCTTCTCTGATTCGCGCCCAAGCCATGCGCAGTTGAGTCGTATGTTCTCCAAGGACTGCTGAATGGTCCTCTCTGCAGCTGGAACTGAACGGTTGGCGAAGAATTCCTAAAAAAAATAATACGATTAAAGGGAAATCCTCGGCCTCTCACTACGCCAGCGAAATTTGACAACGGTGTTTTCGTTCTTTTTTTAAACGCCAACTTAAGTTTTCCATTCACACTGGGAAACAGTTAAAATATTTTACACCACAGCAGATAACTTTGAAGACCAAAAAATCAGTGGCAAAATAAGTTTGGTTATATCCTTAACATGCGAATAACTGGATCTAATAATACAGCCAAAACATAACAATAACATTGAAAAAGCTTCGTTCAGCCTCCTTTCCGCGAGGGAGAAAGAAAGGAGCATGGTAAGGAGCTTGGCCTCGTTTCGTCTTCTTCACCACATCAGTGAGCAAGCGCATAAACAGGGTATGTTGACCCAGCAAAAAATATGATATGAACAACGCCGTCGTTTTTTTATTTTTTTCCTTCTTCTTCTCTTTCTTTTTTTCGCATTTTTTTAAATTCTATTTCGTTGCAGCGTTATGTCAGCTGGATATGAATGCAAAAGGAAAAGAATCTATACGACAAATCATAGAAAAAATTAAGAGTTTAGAAAATTTGCTCAAATAACTGAGTGAATGAGTAGCTCACCTCGACTTCTTTGGCGGCCTCTTCAGTGACAAACATATCTGTAGTGCACTGCAATAAAAACGAAAAAAGAATAAGCAAATAAATGAACTCGTTATAAAGCCGACTTTTCCTCGGGCAGAAGTCATCCAACTACAAAACCAAACGTAACCAGCGTGTTAAATATAATCTTCTTACTTTTGAGAAATTTCAGTTTAATAACTGCCTTGGTTTTGTTCTACTATGCTACGAACACTTGTTAGGAAAACTGGCGCTAACCTTTCGTAGATCCACTACTAAAATCGCAACATGGTCACTCGCGTTTTTCCGAACTTCGGGCAGTTAGTATGAGTTAACATTATGTTCTATCCGACTCCTAAAACGTTTTTCCTTTAGTTTTATTAGTCTTTGTGATTCCTTACGTTTTGGTTCTAAAATACTTTATCTAAATGTGCTCTAGGAAATAAGAGACGTTATCCAACCTTGATCAGGCGAGAAAGCAGGAAACCTCCTTCGTAGCGATTGTACAGCTCGTCCCAGTTCTCTTGCACAAATTTCCAAGCCATTTCACGCCCTTTCACACTACACATTAGCGAAAGAAAAAGAATTAACGAACGTTTTCAATCTTCACAAACCATGATGACAAATAATAAAAAATAGGAAAGAACCGCTACCTTCCACAGATGCCAGCAATCACAAACACTGTGTCTTGAGACCGAACTTGATCCTAAAAAAAAAAAAGAAAAAAAAGAAGGTATGTTATTGGGTAATGTGCCGTATAACGATTTTCAAAGACACATACAACTCTTAACCCTTTACACCCTAACATCAGTCTGCATATTCTCCATACTGTTCTTTATACATTTCCTAAGGTGCTGACAAGGAGATTTTGTTTACTGATCAAAAGCTTCTTTTAGTTGGTGATCATTTCCTTTATTCTCATGACCTTAATGTGTGATTCAGGGGTGATATTGTTGGGAGAATTTAGATCCTAATCACTCTTAGGGTTCAAAGGGTTAAAGCATGTAGTCAGATACCATACATGGTTTCCACACTGCCTTGACGGTGAAAAAAAAAATTTATACACAGTTTAATAAAACGTACCGACAAGGAAAAGTCGCACACTTTCTTGATCAGATCAGGTTGTGATACAGCTCCCATGCATCTCATCAATCGGACTTTCTCTTCGTGCAGATCGGCTTCTTTCAAAAGTTGCATCACAGAGTCTAGGGTGTTACCATCACCATGCTTAAGAACTGTGCTGTACACCGCTGATCTTAAATCCGCTGGGATTGTGGATTCACCTTTGCAGTGTGCTTCAAATCTCTTCTGCGCCTCGGCGACAGTGGCTGGGTGACCGTATTTACCCAAACGTCCAATAATCAAACCTCTGAGGAGGGCATCAAGGTGACCTGAAGTTGAATAACAAGCTTAATGAATGATACTGCTTAGTTTCATTCTTTCAAGCTAATGGTTGTGTTTCAGGGTAAAGAATAAAACAAAAAAATGAATCAAAAGAAAGCGTGGACCACTGACACACTACCAAAACGTCACCAACACTTTCATCGACGCATCAGCGAGCGCGTTGTTTGATCGGATCCATTGTCACCCTGGAAAAAGAAAAGTATTTACGAAAATAACAAAAAAAGGGGAAAAAACAGACTTACTCTCTCCTTCGATTGGGTTCCAACCAAGTTTGGTGCCGATTGGTTCATAAAGTTTGGTACAAAACGCCTGGAAGCTAGGGTAACAGTCTGAATACTGGAGAATTGCTCCGACATGGCTCAAGTTGGAAACCAAGTCATTCCATACAGTGTAATTTGTCTCGTTGCTAAATGCCTCGACCACTTTCAGTACATCAGGTCCGGGCACAAGGCCAGCACGACACTGCAGAGAACAAAAGTAAACATTAAAGGGGTTAGTTCAAAATCTTGAGTCACATTTGAGCAGTTTTCAATGAGCGTCGCATTGACTTGGTTTTGTTTACTTTGCCATGTGATTGGTACAGAAATCTCGAACCATCCTCTCAACCAATCACATTCAAAAATAAAACCAATCGCGATCTGGTCACTCCCGTTTTCCCGCGCTTTAGGTGGTTTGTTTGTTTTTACTTTGCGTTCTTATTGGCTGCTTATGATACTTTCCTTTCATCCGATTGGCTGTTGCGATTGCTCAATTGTTATTGTTATTGCTTTCGTCAATAACACTCATTGCATCTTTGCTGCTCTGAGAATTCGTTTATCATAAAATTCACAAGATTGTAAGGACGTATGGTGAAAGTAGAGCTAAATGGAAAAATCGCTTAATCTTACATAAGCATGCTTAAGGCTATTTTGGAAAGGCTTGGTAACCCTTAGAATCTCAAAACGCAGTTAGAGTAAATTATTCCATACAATTTTAAGAGGCGGAGGTCAACATTGTGCGATTTCTGGATCACAACACTTCTAATTTCACCATCCTCATTCCATAGCTATCTCACAGTACTCATGTACATACCAACGCAAACAGATCGTTCTCCAGTCCTAATCTGTCCCTTGGTGGAAGACTGTTGTCCTTTATGGCCGGCAGGAGAAGTTCCAACATGTCGGACGAGTACTGTACTCGGTAGAAACCAACTTGGCCTGGATTTAACTAAACAGCAGAAGAAATAAAAACAGATTCATTTATAAGAACTGATGAAGTGGCCTATCTCGCCAACAATTTTTTCATCTGAAACTCAATCTGGTTGGGCATCGCAAATGGCAGGAATTGAGGGTATAAGTCAAAGAAACGAGGATTGAGGCAAGGAAATGATCCTCCAGGTGGACTGTAATTTAATCAGTCGCAAAAAGACCAATAAAACTTTTAGACTTCAACGGGATTTGAACCCAGAGTTGTCTCCCGGAAACTAGTTGGACACTATTGTCAAACTATTTCATTAAAAATTATGATCAGATTCCTTCATGGGAAAGAAGAGCTTTTAAAAATTTTCCAATTAGCAATATAATACAGCTTGGGTAGCCTGTGTTGGCATCAAGATGTTGTTATGGAGCATACCTTGACCCATTCATCTGACTTGACACCACTGACTGTCAGAGTACAGGACTTCTGATCCAACAGAGTACTTGCTACACGTTCACGAGGGTTTGCACTGGATGATATGCTTACAGGTACTTGCCAGTG